GACTGATATGATGCGAATTCTGGATATCAATGATTTGAGTACACACAACCGACATTTCTATCAAATAAAATTACAGGAACCAGGTGAGTATGTTCCAATTCAGTTGTTCATTCTAATACTAATGAGTATATGCTGGATCATACAGAGTCTTTATCCAATACACAGTCTGAAATACATGTGGGGAGTAGTGTAACGTCGTGTACTATATTACACCTATATAGCTTATTCTAGTTTCTGGACAAGCCAATTCACCTATAACGTTATGAGTCATATTTTGATCATATTAATTATTCCCTTATTGACCTTGACTATTTTTTTATATGAGCGTATGTGTATGCACACTTCTTATCCTACCTATCACATGTCTGTCATTCATTTTAGCCTGACTATAAATGTTGATTAATGCTTGCTTATAACGAGTTGGCTTCCCAGCCATCTCCACTCTGCGTCATCTTTCCTTCGCTTGCTTACATTTGCTAATGTGCTCACTGCCTTCTAGCCCATGTTAGTTATCAATAAAAATGTAGTTGCTGCTTCCCTTTGTCTTCTGATATTATACACCGTTCAGATTGTTATAATAACGGTTATCAAGACGATCGATTAAGGAAGCACTACACTACATATTGGTAATCCCGACGTACGAACACGCAACACATATTGGCGATCCCGAATTACGAACGCGAAGCAAAGTTGGTAACTTCAACGTACGAATTCACAACATATTGGTTAGCCCGAAATTCGAACACGTAACAAAATTGGATGCCTCGCCGAACGAACACTCAACATATTGGTGAGCTGTGTTTGGAACACGCAACAGAATTGGCGACCGCAACGAGCGAACACAAACCAAAAATGGAACCGTCGACGACATATTCCGTTATGATTCAAATAATCATCACAAGCTCATTATTACAATAATGTCATATCATCATCTAACGTGGAATTATTATTTTTGTTCGTATTGACATTAAACTATGACATTTACGCGGTCATATCACTAATCGAACAAATTATAATGATATGGACATTACACGTTATGATATTCGAAACTCACTGGATTATTTTTATTATCCAATGACGTACAATTTTCCTGATTCAAGTGAGTTCGTTCCAATTTTTTTTTCATGTCATTTTCGGTCTAAGATAACACTCTATCATAGACATAAGTTTGGAGTCATACTCCCGATAGTAGGAACTTATGTTCTCGATAGACAACTAATGTTCATTCATTTCATTGGTACGCAGCAACCGTCGTTTCCTACATTTTCAGCGACAATCTAAACCGAACTTCCGCAATTTTTGTTTCACGATGATCCCTACTTTAATGTTTATACACAAATCGAGTATTCGACGCCGCATTACCAGCCGATTAGTAATGATTATTTTCATATTATCTATTCACATTTATATCTGAATGCTGCATCATTCATTACCGATAATCGCTATTCGATCGCTGCAATTAATATCCTATTTCCATTGCACTATACACCAGAACATAGAGTTTAGAGCTAGTCTCTCAAAGATACACTCTTGTTCGTCACATTCAAGTCAGTCTCACTCGCTGTCATCGACAATCATATGTATTGGTATTTTTATCATGCCTTAAAACGGTTTCGTAACAAATGAGGTTGAGCGCATATCCCTCTAACTACACAAACCACGCTAGGCTTCTAGACCAAAAAGGAATACGACTCCGCGTATCTCGTCTAAGCAGTCACTATCCTGTTCCTCTGGTCATTCTACTAATACATATTTAACGATAACTCAACGCAAGCGTTAGCGCACGCTGATTTTGCATTTTATTATCATAATCAATTGCAGTACAGCAATGAATACCACCTGTTGATGCAGTCATCTTCCTACGGCTGGATTACTTCTTATCCCACGTAAACTTCAGTTATGTAAATTCGAATACACTCATCGCTAAGCGACTCTATTTACTCTACTGCGACTTATCAGAAAATCATATTTCACTGTTCTTCATTCTCATATTCAATTGGCACTACAGACCAATTTTAATTATATTCTACATTACTTATTTCCACGATTTATTCCGCTGTCATACCCATAAACAATTTGTTGCTCTATTTTCACGATATTTCGAATTGCTCATACAAACATGTTATTTTATCATCCGGACAGTGACGACATAAATGCATGTTAAATTTTTTGTACGCTTACTAATTTACTCATAATCACATGCTAAACATTTCCATTTCTGTCCCCATTTTGACAATTTTCATGTACATTTTCACATAAGTGTGACATTTTCGTTTAATAAACTCGCCCCTCCATTGACACTGTAACTTATTCGATATAGTACAATTTTTTCTCTCTACATATTATTAACGTTATCCATATGCCATTTCAGTGTTATTTTCAAATTAATGTGCTAATACTTTAATTTTGGTTTGTGAACGCATATACACCTCCTCCCCCTTGTTTATTTTGCATAACAGTGTTTCCTCCGGACACTCTGGGGGGAGCTATGTGGGGAGTAGTGTAACGTCGTGTACTATATTACACCTATATAGCTTATTCTAGTTTCTGGACAAGCCAATTCACCTATAACGTTATGAGTCATATTTTGATCATATTAATTATTCCCTTATTGACCTTGACTATTTTTTTATATGAGCGTATGTGTATGCACACTTCTTATCCTACCTATCACATGTCTGTCATTCATTTTAGCCTGACTATAAATGTTGATTAATGCTTGCTTATAACGACTTGGCTTCCCAGCCATCTCCACTCTGCGTCATCTTTCCTTCGCTTGCTTACATTTGCTAATGTGCTCACTGCCTTCTAGCCCATGTTAGTTATCAATAAAAATGTAGTTGCTGCTTCCCTTTGTCTTCTGATATTATACACCGTTCAGATTGTTATAATAACGGTTATCAAGACGATCGATTAACGAAGCACTACACTACATACATGCGATGGACTCAAGGAAAAGACGTTCAGCTGATTGCCGAAACTTATATTCCAATTTAAGCTGTGGCAGATGTGGTGTTTGTATGAAGTAATGATTTCTTTGTATTTGATGTCTGCCTGATTTTGAATCCCAAATATAACGCGTTCGTTCGTGCTCACCTTGTTCTGTTTGGTCTAAATTGCGTTATTTCTGAGATTCCTAGTTCCTATAGTAATTCAAATACTTATAATTATCACAATACCTCAATTTTATTAATCGCGTATTTATCTGTATCTTGACAATCCTTATACATCATAATGCACTTGAAGGAATACATTCAACAAATGCTAAATATCAGAACATTCAAGTGACATTTTTAAGATTTTTGGAACTCTAAACTGTTATCATATTCTGTCGAACTTCATATCCTGAAATTTTTAGCGTATAACAAAGCAGGTTGTTGTATGACATTATGAATGGCAGTAACATGCAGGGATGACAACTCTCACTCCCATACTGTACCCTAGGTTACTCCATCAGACACAGTTACTCAGCTAGATGACCTGGAGTTTGCCACTTCTTTTTTGTTCATATCCAACGAGGAGATTATCTACTCACATAAATAATTTACCACCATTCCCAATATCACTGAGCTTATGTAGCAGCCTATTATGCGGAACCGTCGAAAGCCTGACCGATGTCGACGAAAGTCACATCTATATGTAGCCTATAGTGTTTTAGAACACACCGACTATTACGGACTAGTAACACGTATGTGGGACATGAATAGCCTGTCCTCAAATCACACTGCTTTTCAGAAAGAATCATGTTTTCGTCTAATTATTAGTATAAGTCCATTCGAATAATCTTTTTTAGAATCTTGCAAATCACCCGGACCGATAGCTCTCAGGTATTTGTCATACATCTGTTTGATAAACAGGAATCACTACGGCGTTGTTTCAGTTCTCTGGTAATTTGCCCTAGGGTACAAATAGATCAAAACATTTGTCTAAGAGGTTCGTGGTGAAATTTCCCAGTTCTTTTTGTAATGAAGAATCCACTTGACCGGGTCCCATTGATTTACCTACATGAAGCTTATTTGGCTTCTGATATTGAGATTTTTATCTCATCAGTAAACAACAATGTAAATCTCCTCCTCACCTCTTTCCTTCTACGGAGAAACGTACAAACCTTCTTGCTGAATTATAAATTTGTTTAATACCTATGGTTCTATTGTTCAATCTACTGAGGATGTTAAGTGTATAATTCATTGTATATCTGCCTTCCAAAAGTTTAATCTGACTTGGGCTGACACATTATTGTTGAAAACCATACGAAAATAAAAAGTGGTGACTTCATGGCCACTCTTACTTAGTGGTGACATATAATCGAGGTTTGTGACGTCATCTCCATAATGAATTAATATGAGGTATAGTAAAGATGACTTCGAGTCAGCGTCGTATCTAGCCGCTTCTCTCACACATTGCGCCAGGGCACATATAATAACCACATCAAATGATTATGTCGAAAAGAATTTTTGAACAACCCAATCGTTAGATTTTTTCAGTAGGTGAATTAAAGTCTCCTAAAACTGAACATCAACCAACTGAAGACCAAGTGTTGAAACCGTCTAGAAAGAAATCATTCACATAAAAGTCTGGGCTGAAGTAAAACAAAGCAATTAGCAGATCTCATGCGGAAATTGATACACCCGACTTTCATGGTATATGTTGTCCATAAAGGTAGTAGGGGATAGTAATTTGTTATAAACTTAAGGATACTGATTATAACTTTAGGGGTTTCTTGTTATAACAGTCCTTTCACTTGTTACACGTATGTGGGACGTTAATTTACCTTAGACGAATATCTACACTAGATTCCCACCCAGTGTCTATTCTACAGGACTTCAACACAACTCAGACCAAGAACACGAGATTAGCCTGACTTTAACGTCAATATATTTCACACTAAAATCCGACACGAGGAACAGTCAATCAATAACAGTCCATCAACAACTGTCAATACACAATAAGGATAGGGTAATATATATAACACATATAACACCTGTCATCCTATCTAATGTCTGACTCATCGAGACAACCAATCACTGTCATTCTCGCCCACACATCATAATTCTAATAAATAAGGCTACTATTTCTTTACGCTTCTGGGTTCTGTTGAACTATACTGTAGCGAAATTTCCAAAACTAAGTTTCCTATTATCTACAGAGTGTGCCAACTGTACTTCTATGGAGGTGATCACATTTGACTTGGTGAGATTAATCTGTACACCCGATTTCGGTCACTTGTTGAGATAGCTCCTGAAGTTTATGTAACAGATACAAAGGCCATTCGAATAGTTTCATACTGCACACAAAGTAGTGTCGACATGATTCTCCATTGAAGCTACGCCACTCGAAATTTACAATGCACATGTCCTTCTCACCAACATCTAATCTTAGCTTCAGCCCACTTTCAACTCCTCGTTTTTTCATACGGCCAGCAGGCTACAAATATGTAAGGACAAAGACTCTTGATCCATTCAGGCTACGTCGATTCTGTGTTTTCACATTCCTTTTGTTGGGGCGTTTCAATAACACCTTTAGAAGCCTGGTCTGGTTATTTTTAAAGTCCGTCTAGCTACCTAGTCAATAAAACTTTAACAACGTGACGACTGAGATATCTTGAGGTGTTGGCTAAGTAGACCTTGTATCCTTTAAATGCCATTCTCAAAAATCCAAAAGTTTACTAGCCCTGGCTCTGAAAGTTAACTGACCTATTACTATGGTGATTCTTCGATACTCAACCACGGTAAAGGAAACCGGGTTTCTTTTATGATATTAGGTTTTTTCGTACTCTCAATTAGTATTCGTTCATCATTCATGATTACAGTTGCTATTGTAGTTGCTTATGTACTTATTTATTTATTTAAACACATAAATATTGGTACAAGGGGGTGTAAGATCCAAACCTAGTTTCCAACTAGGTTTGATTTGTTGAGTAACTGACGAGCGAAATTGGAGATGCGTACCCCCAATCGAGATCAGAACAAGGTGTTTTGGGGGTAATAACGGTTCTAAATTTCATCATATATACAAATGTACAAATTTACCTAAACAAATATTACCACCCAGTTATTCAACCAACAATTGGTACCAAAATATCCAATCTAAATTACAATGAATAGCAAAGTGATAAGAAATATATGAAAATTACCGAAAACACCAAAAGGTGAGTGTTATTCTACCCTTTCTGGATGGATCAAATAAGATTCCGTTTGAGCAGCTGTTCTATAACACAAATTGTTAAATTTTCGGGGACAGTGATCCAAATTACAACCAAAAATGCACGATCCCAGTCAAAATCAAACCGCACAATCAGAGAGCGAGCAGTCAATATGGCAGCCGCCAGAATAATAACAATTAAAACAAACTAAATACAGTTCAGTAAGGAACATAGAGACTCAATAAAAACGGTAAGAAAAACAAGAAAATTAAACGTTACAGTCTTAATTAGCATCAAAAAAGCTAACAATATATACAAATAAAGAAACCACAAGGAAGAAATCACAAATATATGCATGGAGGGATTCTCACTTTCAAAATGGATCTAACAGGGGGCACCAGATATATATGCGCCACACCCATTTTAATTGAATTACACATATCGTGAGATTCCGAAAAATCTTCAACTACTTACTGATCAGATGATAACTTTTGTTGCTTTTCGTGCTGGAGGACGGACCCAGACTTATGATTCCGTTGTATCGTAGAGGAAAGCCACTTTTTCATGATAGATCACTTTGAAGTGGGTCATTCTTTCTTCGGCCCACGTGAATCGGTCGATCTTCATTATACTTGAGAAGACTGTCCGTAGATTTGTGCACCAATAGATCAATAATCGTCTGACTCACATTAGTTTCGACCAGCAAAATTAGACATCCTTACGTGACTTTTATCAGTGTCCACCACTGCAAATTCTTTACGTACGAGCTGCACCGTTGGTACAACCACACGCATTCGGGTTTACTGAACCTTTTAAAAGCTGAAAATGTAAAATTCACACACGCTTCATGGTCCGACTCATTGCACGCATCGCGTTGCATAACACTATCCATAGGATACCTATAAATTTGGCGTTGACATTTTTTTATATTCCGCGATCATCTATGAAATGATTTCAGATAATTTGGAAAAATTATGGCCGAAAAAGTCGGGCAGCAATAAAAAATGAAGCAAAACTGAGGTTGAAACTTTTACAAACAAAACAAGCAACTCCAAACTTTGATGTTGCTAAGCATACGCAAGACGTTTGAAACTGCGTGATATAACTGTGAGGATGGCATGTTTGTATAAGTGTGCCATATTATTTGTATATCAGGCTGACAATGCCATAATTATTGTAGTTTAACAACACTTTATCAGCAACACCTTCTATAATTGAGTCGTTCTCATCCAGTAAAATCCGAATTCAGAAGCGAGGAGGTTGGAAGATATATTTGATCGGTTATCAATATACTGAGGAGTGAATGATCCAAAATGGCTAGCAATATCAGGAGAAGTTGAGCACAGCGTTCCCACTCGTGATCTGGTGTGGGTGCATGACCAAGCGCCTTCAGCTAGGTGATTCCGCTAAAACTAATGTTGTCAGCATCCAATGTCGAACACTTACAGAGCTATTGATTTTGTGGATTTATTCACCGCTGCAGATCACTCCCTTCCTAGTGAGGTAGTGATGATCCTACAAAGTGGCCAGTCAGAAGTTTAAACCCATCGAGTTTGTCGTTGGCAAACACTCTTCTGATAGCTCGCTATATTTAGCAGCGTCTGGTCATCGTGCTTTACAATAAGGGACGATGAAGTACAATTTAGCAAAAAGGAAACAAAGTACAGTGAAAACTTCATCGTTCATTGGATCGTCTTTTCCAACCGTGCTGGCAAGGAAAAGTGGAATAAGTAAGTGCATGTGGAAATACACTCGTACGCACGTAAAGACACAAAGCGGGTAAAAAACGGTAAATATACTCATACACCTGCGATAGCGTAAAAGCGATTTTTAAAGAACTTTTATTTTTCAGTTTTTTTCAAAGAATAAAATAAATATACACATATTAGCAAAGATAAATTTTGTCCGTTTCTTTGGAATAAATATATGTAAGTATAAGCATATTAATTTTTTTATTATGTATGATACAAAGAAAATCGATGTGAAGTAAAATGTTAACTGATGTCTTACGTGCAATAGTCGTTTAAATGTTCTGGAAATCTTACTCTTCCAGAACGCGCTGATTATGCCTGTAAACTGGTGTGAATTCTGTAAATATTATTTTCGGAATATATTATTATTATTGTTACAAGTTATTTTTTAAATACTACCTAAGAATCAACGTGCGTGTTGGCTGTCAGATGAGGTATTACAAGTGTAGGAGCCGTATCGTTCGATTGTACCGAAAGAAAATCTACGTGGATAGGATTTCCTTCTGAATATGCTGCTTTAACGAGATCGATGCTGATGCTATAATTATTTCCGTTTTTATCGACCATATGGTACTTATGTTAGTGCTGAAGAACTTTGAAGAGTCCTATGTACGCTGATTCGAGAGGCGTCGATGTGAGTCTTGTCATACGAAAACGTCAGTTGATTGAGATCGAGTGGAAACGGGTTCAACTGGGCGCACTGCGTTTGTAAGCCTGCTGGCATATGAGTTTAGATCAATGTTCCCTGAAGAAGATGAATGATCCACGAATTCTCCTGGAAGTTGAAGTGTCGTTCCATAAAAGAGTTGAGCCGCAGTGTATCCAATGTCAGCGAATACCAAGTAAAACACGTGGAAGAGCATCGATCCACCGTGAAACGTTTGCAGCTGTTAGCCGTCAGCGAAAACTTTCTACCAACCCGTTTGATTGAGAGTGGTAGGCGGTCGTTCGGAAGCGAGTGATTTTTAGTAGCGTCATCAGACAACGGGAGAGTTCAGATTCGAACTGGCGTCCGAGGTCTATAGTGATGGTTGAAGGGCAGCTGAAATTCGCTGCCCATGGTTCGACGAGGGCTCGGGCCACTGCTTCAGCAGTAATGTCGTTGATAGGTACTGCTTCAGGCCACCGAGCGAAATGGTCTGCACAGATGAAAAGATAAGAGTATCCATTTGAATCTGATAAGGGTCCTACCAAATCCAGATGAACATGGCCGAAAAGAGCATCAGGAGTTTCGAAAGAACCTAAGGGACATTTGTTGTGTCTAATCACTTTTGATTTCTGGCAGCTTACACAGTAGCAAGCTCACTCCCTCAAGTCATTATTCATACCAAGCCAGCAAGACCGTTCGACTATAAGCTTGATGGATGCAAGAACACCTGGATGAGAAAGTTTATGCAACGTATTGAAGACGTTGCGTCGATAATGCTTCGGCACATTTGGGCGATCCCTACCTGTAGATGTGTCACATGGTAAGGTTTCCTAACTTGTTTCCATCTGTTTACTGTGCAGTTTAAAGGTTGTTGAGGATAACTCGCGCTGAAGATCAGTGTCTTCTTTTTGAAGCTGAGCGAGTTTAAGAAGGTCGATTCCTTGGAAACTGTTCAAAGAAGCTATACAAGACAAGGCGTCTGCGACTACATTGTTTGCTCCAGAAATATGTTGTATATCTGAAGTAAACTGCGAAATGTAGTCCAGTTGTTGAGACTCAAGAAGTGAATACTCGTTCGAAGATGCGGTTGACAGATGCAACCAGCTTGTCTGCGGCATTGTTTCGAAACGAGACCAGCATAGCTTGCACCTAATGACGTAGTTCGGATAAGAAAAGTTGTCTGAATAGACCATCATCGAAAGTTCTTTGGCCGATAACCTCTCTCATTCTTATCAACATATCTATCGCAGAGCCATGCTGCAGGTGGATAGTGTTAGGGAGTTGGTCTAACTTTTGTCGATCGGTTAGATCTTCTCTTTTAATGATACATCGTTTAAGGGTTTTGGAGGGTTCTGAAACATCACTATTACACATACTAGGTGTTACGAACCTGTTGAATTCGCGCGGTAGTGTCTTTACTACCACGAGGAATTGTGCGCGTGGATCAGTCTTGCCGTGCTTGTAGAAGTTGGCCTCTGTGTAGCAGAACCAGGCTCCGATATTGTACGGCCAGAAGGGCATTATCTGAAACTAGGTTGGTGTAAGAGTCTTGATCTTAAGTAGCTTAGGAATCTGTTCTGTCGTGGCGAATTTAAAGTATAGGGATAAACTTGGAAAAAATATCCAGAAACTGGAAAATAAAAATATCACAATACATAAAAATAAAATGAAGCGATGATTTATGAAATAATAAAAAGGAAAAGACGCACAGTTTAGTGGGTTGACGTACCAGATCTTTTTAGGCTCACTGATGATGATGCTACAGGTACTGTAGTTTAACAACACTTTGTCAGTAACACCTTCTACAATTGAATCGTGCCCACCCAGTGAAATCCGAATTCAGAAGTGAGGAGGTTGTAAGACATATTTGATTACTTCAAATGGTTCAAATGACTGTTGGCGGAAAAGAAGTATCTTTCGCTTAACGAGCTTCCATGTCTAGTACCAGTGGATTACTAATACCTCCAGGCAGGAACTTAGGTATATTAACGATAATAGAGGGGAAAAGAGATTGATAAATCATATTAAGATGTTATCCTTAGTCCTTAAGGATAGGTCAACTTGCCTATTAAAGGACTTCTGAGAAGTCTCTTGAACTAGCTCAGTCAGAAGCGAATTCCAGCGTTTGACAACTCTTAAGGAGTAGAAGTTGTGTCTACAGTCCGTTCTGCTATGTTGGGTCTCCAGTTTCTGGGTGTTACCCCTTATGTCAGTATTGTGACTAAGCTTAAGTAAATGTTTAAAGGGATGGACAGAAATGTTAAGCATACTGCAAGCCATAAGAAGGTCACATCTAAAAGGCCTACACTCTAACGGGTAAAGGTTAAGTGATTGGAATTCAAGTCCTCGAACTGATTTCGTGGCTCGCCGTTGGATACGTTCCAGAGTGTCTTTATCCTTTTGGAGAGAGGGAGGAAATACTATGTTTTCTTAGTCTAAATGGAGAAGAATAAAACTGTTGAAGATTATGTGGAAAGTTCTACCGTCAAATTGACCAAAAATGTGCCTCAATGTTACCGGTGTAAGGTGTGCTCGGAAGGCATTGTTGTCACGGTTAGCGTACAACTTCAAGTCGTAGTGTACCAGCACTACTAAATCTTTCTCGACTTAGAACACATTTACAGAGGAGTTTCCTAAGTTGTAACTATAATCTGCAACATGTCGCAGATGGACTACATTACACTATGGAGTATTAAAGATAGGTCCGTTGTCGTCTGCCCAACTTTGAAGTCGGGTCAGATCCTCCTGAAGTGCCAGTATATCCTCTTGGTTGCGTATCTCTCTCCAAAGTTCCACATCATCAGCATAAAGCAACAAGTCAGACGATACTTGTTGTGGAAGGTCGTTTATACAAATGAAGAAGAGAAGAGGTCTTAGTATTGAGCCCTGGGGGACCCCACTAGAACATTCCACAGCCTGAGAGAAAGTGAAGTTCAAATGGTTCAAATGGTTCAAATGGTTGAGGACGGAATAGAAGAAGCTTTCGCTTAACGGGCTTCCGTGTCTGGTAGCAGTGGATCACCAATACCTCCAGGCAAGAACCTAGGTATATGAACGATAATAGAGGGAAAAAAAGAATTTGGTAAATCATAATAATATGTTATCCTTAGTCCTTAAGAATAAGTCAAGTTTTCTCTTAAAGGACTCCTGGGAGGTCGCTTGGACTAGCTCAGTCGGCAGCGAATTCCAGCACTTGACAACTCTAACGGAGTAGAAGTTGTGTCTGCAGTCTGTTCTGCTATGTAGGGTCTCCAATTTCTAGGTGTTACCTCTGAGGTTAGTGTTATGACTAAGCTTAAGAAGTTGTTTAAGGGGATGACCAGAAGTATTAAGGATACTATAAGTCATAAGAAGATCACCTCTAAGACGCCTATACTCTAACGGGTAAAGGTTAAGTGATTTGAGGCGCTCTTCATAAGGTTTGAATTTGAGACCCCGAACTGATTTCGTGGCTCGACGTTGTATACGTTCCAGAGTGACCTTATCCTTTTGGAGGGAGGGAGGAAATACTATGTTTCCGTACTCTAAGTGGGGACAAATAAAACTGTTGAAGATTATATGGAAGGTTCTACCGTCAAACTGGTCAAAAATGCGCCTCAATGTTACCAGTACAAGGTTTGCATGAGAGGCGTTTTTGTCACAGTTCGCATACGATTTCAGGTCGTAGGGTACCAACACTCCTAAATCTTTTTCAACTTGGGAAACTTCTGGAGGTGAGTT